CAATGACTTGGCAGCGAAGTGTGAAAGCCATTACCAGCAAACTCAGCTGCGCTGGTCACTGCCGTCTTCCTGGATGGGGAACCCGAGACAGGCCACATAATAAAAGCGTTCATCTGTAGCTCCCTTCTGGTGTCTAGCTGCCGTGCCATCCGAAGGAATCACGAGGGCTGGGATACTGCCAGGTTACCCAAGCCTAGACAGGAGCAGTCGAGTGGCGGAGGTGGGATTCGAACCACGGACCTTCCGGTCAGTATATTTGCGCTCTAACCACTTGGGCCATTTCGCCCCCGGGCCACATCAATGGTAGGGACATTCGACGAGACGTGCCCATGAATAACACAGTTACCTTTTATGCATTCATTTACCCCTTCCCAGACGTCGTGACGGACGAGAAGGATCCAGTCTCTTATCTCCCTTTAGTGTTCCTCTTCCAGTTCCGAAGTTATAGCACGGCAAGTCAAAATCGAATGTGCCACAGAAGTGTAGAGCGGAGAATAATCAAAATAACCTGCAAAATATAGACGTAGAATTGAGTGAAATTCGGCTAAAGTATAACAGCTCTAACATGAAAAATTTTGGTGCAAAGCGTTTTATTTCACTCTCGAATGTTTTGCAGCTGAAGGCACCGTACGTTCAAGGTGCGGAACATTTCGCCGCACACACCCTGAACGACGAGCTGTGCACGTGCCCTTGGCCTTGTTTTGTTCACTAATATACGTTGTCTTTTTAGTGGCTGCTTAGACGGGACCGCCAGTCTAAGGGGTTCAGGCCAAGATCTATCATTGCAGCTGGGGTGCCTGGTCACAGATATCGCGTACACAGATAACTTAGCTCCTCTTTGATTTGACGCCATGGGAATGCAAACGATGTTAAACAATCAAAACAATTGCGCGTCACGGTTTGACATGCGCTTCACACCTACAAAGTGCTGCTTCAAAACGATGGGCTTGAGCCCCCGCCTCATACCTGCTGATGGGCTGATCGACGTAGGAGACGAATTCACCGCCACTGGCAATTGTATCAGTCTCGGTGGTCTCGGATTAAGTGATAGTTCAATCCGTATTGGGAAGGCAACAGCAACTTCCGCAAACTTGCATCACCTGTGGCTTATCTGTCAAGGGTCGAGTTTACAGTGCTGCTGTACTCTCCACATTATTGTACGGGTCAATATTTTTCTCCTTCCCCAACCTCCCCAATTAAACGTCTACTTAGGACCCTGTATTCGCGCATTAATTATAACAAGTGCCATATCTAACGCGCAGCCAACTACTCCATCTCCACGAATCATCAATGAACGAAGTTGTGGCAGCTAGGATCGCAGAACGACAAGTTTGCGTTCCTTAGAGCTGCAGGTGGTGATGACGATGGTGAATTCAACTCAATTCAATGTAATCGCTATAAGCTGTTTACCATGGTCACATTGGTTCCATGTACCACAGTCTTGATCACCGGGATGTGGTAGTGCGTGAAAGATATAGCTAAGTATAGAAGACGATGGCAGTATCCATTAGGATAGAAATAATTTAAAAACAAGAGTCCAGTGCCGCTCGAAAGGCATCTGGTTTGCGTTGCCGCATTAGGAATGCGACAGTATTATCTTATTATTTCTGTCTTTGGGCCAGGCTGTCCGCCTGAAGATAAGTGTCTCGGAAGTTTCTTCTGAAATACCACAAAAACTGTCAAGTCTCAGTCGAAACTTTTGAGTCGGAGGCTGGTATTTGGAATGGAGAAATTATCTGCATCTTAACACTGCCTTCAAGGGCTGCAGTTTGTGTATTTATTCCAAAATCCTCGTCGGCTTAGACAACCTTAAGGTATCATTCATCCTTGTAGCTCCCCGCTCCCGATGCCTCCCCACCCATCGGGCGATTCAAGGTGATTTAACTGAGCGGCAACTGGTGATCAGGAGAGTTGTTATCCGGAGTGGTTGACCAAGCGGCCGTGGCGTTTTTTTTACTGAAGATAGTCGCGCCAATTTCACCCTTGGTCGTTTAGACCACTCCTATTTCCCGGGGAACGATCATGTGAACCAACCGAAGCAATCTCTCGGTATTTCCGGGTTTCTGGATCTGTTCCATTACCTTAGCCTTCCGTGCCCATCAGGTTGACATGCAAGTTGACTTCACATTGTACCTGACAATTCGTCAAGTATTCTTACGCTCGGTGTTAACAAACCGTTGCTACCTAGGTATAGTATCCAGCACTTTTCTCTATCTGGAGTGACGGATATATAAGCATTTACCAACTCGTAATTCTCACCCTATTTTCACCCTATATACTGCCATTATTAAACGAGTAAAGCGTGCATTATGCCCCTCTATTCTGACCTCCTAATCTTAACCTGGAACTACTGGACTCTCTCAACACCTGGTAGCGCTATGCCACGTGCAGAGTGTTGTGTCAAGCAGAACATTCGTGCAACTCTGTATCGGTCCCTTGGCCTCCTGCTCCACCCACAATGATATATAAAAAAGCATGGTTGCTTCAGACAGTACCTCATGGAGATAAAGGGAACTTATTACAACTGTATTTATGGGGTAACCACAGGAATTTTCACAAAGTCGTGCAAGAATCTCTATAAGGAGCCCATTAGCCGCACAATATTCTTAGCTGCAAAATCTTTGCAAGTAAAATGAAACCTTTTACGCCAAAATATTGAATTTTATTGCCTATGTGCTCAGGCCAAAAACCATAATAAGCCACACCCAGATTTTTGCACCTCACCGAATTTCATTGTTCACTATAGCAATCATACCTCTGGCGGATAAAGTCTGGTCGAATGTTTTCCTAGCATCGCTGATACCCCGAGATGCATAGATGGGGCCCACAAGACTGGACTCGTACTCTGAACTCCATCGTCTGTCTCTTTTTGTCCAAAACGGCACGTGATAACTATAGAAAATCCAATTCCATTGTGGGAATACTGCGCGCCTCTCCTTGAGGGGTCGAAAAGCGCCGTCAGAGACGCTCGATGCGGATTGGCTGGCATTTCGACTTAACAGGGTGTACCTTCGTTTGGTCCGTATCCGGCACGTGACGTCCGCCCAAATGATGGGATGTCTGGTTATTAGGCTAACTGGAATCTGCAGACATGATTACCACACTGCTTAAAGAGTGGTATGAACCACCACTCTCAGACTACGCCTCCTAGCAGTGACCTCCATAATGCCACCAGAGAATATATCTCACCCTGTATTCCAAGGTGTCCTGGGCACCAACTCCACCGGCCGTGAATAACTCAAAAACCCATTTAAAAAGGTTTTAAGAGCAGACAGTTGCCGGATCAGTAGGAGCCTGTCACTCTGAGAGACTTAATTGTACGAAACTCCTCACTCCGCTACATAGCTTGGTGTCACAAACACCGTTGGTTTATATTACAAATATACCGATCTACCACACCGACAGCCAGACGCTTGTGGATCTACATAACTGAAACCTGACGCAAACCGCTTACACATGCGCCGACGAATACAAAGAAGTTCGAGCGACGAACACAGTCGTTATGCTCAGCGTTTAATACCCAGTTCCTTGCAGAACACAGATGGGATCTGAGGAGAGTAATTTTCGCCTCGTTCGTTTACTTACAGAAGTACGTGAGCTTAGATGGTTGAGAACTTCAAGTATAGAGTATTAGGGATCCAACAATTAAAGCAACAGTCGTGACAATCACTCTTGTCAAAATTGCCTGTGGGGTTGAGAAATGGAAGTCCTTGTGCACTCGAATGATTGAGCCAGAAATAGAGAACAAGGGTTGCAAAATGAAAGCCCTTAATCTTATAGCATTGTCAGTACATTAGCTAAAACATAAGGGAACACTGATAGATTGACGAATAACAAGTAAACAGTTTAACACAACGTTAGTATATCAGCCCTTACTTAGTTATTATATAAAAGAACAGTATACTATGTGATAAGTAATAGTAATTAGACCTTTTTGTTTCCTGAAGTTATAAACCGTTCCGTTGCTATTCGTCTGGGTCTGTATGATCACATAGTGTGTCAGGATTTGGTGTTACGCGGTCAGTGACATCATAAGTTTGGCCCGGATAAATTATCAATAATATCCGATGCTTCTCAGCATAGGAAGGTAGGTCCTGCGTAGGTTCTGATAAGATTAGTACTTACCCCTAATTAAGGGCCTAGCGGCATTGTGACACCACCTCGGCTTTTCCGAGGGGCGCTTTGCGGATCGCATATCACATGCTCCGCTTCTACAAACGGGTTATATTTTGACAGTTTGTATTTCTTTCAAGGTTGGTCCAAGGAGAATCAGGCAGTAAATTTCCGTTCATCAAACGGTGGACATCACTGGACAGTCATTGGCGCGGGTCATATCTACTAGAAGCGCACAATCGGCCGCAAGTAGTGGAGTGATTTTCCGATGGATAGGTTGGAGGTTCTTGGCTTCCAGAAACAGACATATAGTTTTCCTCCATTTACCATTCAGATGCTGTACTTGGCCGTTGGATTATGGGTTATATGCAATTGAAAGAATTGCGGCTACGCCGTCGTCAAAAAGTAATTTGGGTAATTCTGCCGAGGCAAAAGACCCGTCAAAATCTCGAAAAGAAACAATTCCTGACAAAGTTCATGACTGCAAGTGATGACACATCGACACAAATAAGCACAAAGGGGATTCGCGGGTATTCATTATTAATGATGCTCTTACACTTACACTGGACTCACTTGGCATTGGTGTGTGCTGTGTCTAAAAAGGAGAACTCAAGATTCAAACAGAGTGATTGAGCTAACCGTTCCCTCACTCTCCACTCACTTCTGTCTGCGCACCTCTGGCGATCAAGGGGTTGCTGCGGTGGGATGTGCAGGGGTTGGTGTCGTCTTAAGTCACCGGGCGGAAGTATCCTTGCTTGACCGTTGACTGTCGCAACTGCTCGGTTCGTCTGGCGACGTCTGTGAAGGAGTCTCACAAACGGGAAGCTGATCCCTGTCTGATTGTCGTGTCCGCTTATGCCCCAAATGATTAGCTCCGATGCCGTCAGTGACAGGTTTTACGACGTCCCGAATGCCCTGCTGCGACGAGCTAAAAGCTCAGATATCGTGGGTTGCAGGAGATATGAATGCATAAGTGGGTCGGCTTAGCGTATCTGAGACGCAGAAAGTCGATATGGGTTGGACTCGGTACGTACGGACTCAGTACATATAATGGTGAATGACTGCTTCATCTGTGTGCTAATTGCAGGCTGTTTTTATGCAGTACTAACTCCTGAAATAGCCGAAGTCGTCTGGCCACACGGTGTCCTCCAACGGCATACCGGCCACAAACTCAAATCGATCATGTTGCCATTAGCTACCGATCGCGGATCAATAACTGACTGCCGGTCGTTTTGGGACACATTTGTAGCTTCTGACCATGCACTCGCCCGCAGCCGCTTCTCGCTATGTTTCCCTGGGCGTTGTAAGGTGCGGACAAATCGCTTGGCAACTGAAAGACTGGCAGATCCGGATGTTAAACGAATTTACCAGAATCGTCTTCTAAAATCTCTTCCAAATGCTCCACCATCAGATGGGAACGCATATTGGGACGAAATCGCCACCTCTTTGCGTAGTTCTAAGAATTTCTCATGTGGCACGGCACCATCGGGCACACGCAAGCACTGGACATCAGGCCGAACGGTGGCACTGTTTAAATCTCGGAGAAATGTCCCAGCCGGTCCCGAACATAACCCGGTACGAAGAATTATCAAGTGAGCTTGCGAGCCGACCGTGAAGTATGGCTGACACAGAAGGCCAAAGAAATGGAAGAGGCCCAGAAAGCCTGTGATGCCCGAAGATTATCTTAGTCAATCCGTGCGACCTGTCCCCGGTAACCACTTGTGAGCGAAACCATCAAGCATCAAAATGGAACGACCATGTCGAATAAAGAAAAACACCTCGACCGGTGGGCTGAATACTTCGAACAACAACTGTCGTGGCCACCAGCTGGTTCTCACATAGACCCCACAGGCGAACTATAACCCTGGACGGTGAACGTGGGACAACCTACGGCCTCGGAGGTTTACGACTGCATATGTTGTCTCAAGCGCTATCGAGCTCCTGGTCCGGATGACCTTCCACCCGCACTGTTCAAAGATGGGGATAAAGTCCTCAGTCAGCGCTTGTCTGATCTATTTGCTTGCATGTGGGAGAGGGAGTCTGTCCTAGACAACTGGAGATAGTAGGTGATAGTGCCCATTTTCAAAAAGAGGTTCGTAGTGAGTGTGGCAACCACAGGAGGATCAGCTTGACCCCGATCGTAACGAGACCGCTGGCGTCACTGGTGCTTCGTCGGATTACGGTGGCCCGCGGAACACTGGCTCGAGAGCAGCAAGCGGGATTCCGGCCTGGTAGGGGTTGCGTTGACAAAATCTTGACACTCCGTCAGGTGCTAGAACAATGCCATACGTATAAGCGACCCACAGTTCTAGTATCCCTGGATTTACAAGGCGCATTTGACTCGGTTGATCGGTCTGTTCTGCTTGATACGCGTGCCCACAAAGGAATGCCCTGGAAGTTCGTAAACATAATAAGTTCTTTGTATTCAGACTTCCGGACGTGTGAAAGTACACGGCGAGCTCTCCAAAAGCTTCCGTACACAAAGTGGTGTCCGTCAGGGATGCCCACTTTCCCCATTTCTGTTTAACTTTGCGATCGATGAAATCATGAGGTGAACGCTGGAAGGTCTCCAAAACCCCCGATGTCCAAATAGCCTGTGACGAAAACCTTGTCGATCTAGAATATGCAGACGATATCGTTCTCATGTTCGAAGAGGAGGAGGCCAAAGTATTCTTGAATGAACTGACCAAAGTCATCCCATTCTTTGGTATGCACTTCGCACCCACGAAGTGTAAGTTCATGCTCCTGGACATGCAGTCACTGAACACGCCGCTGGAAGTTATGGAGCCTTTTACGTATCTTGGAGGTTGTATTAGTTCTGATCGTAGTGTGACAGATCAGGTCGATGTACGAATCTGCAGGGCTCGGGTCGCGTCTGCTAATTGGAGACACCTATGACGTCAGAGTGGTGTATCCCTGAATCTCAAGTGACGTGTGTATCAAGCTACAATGCGGGGGCTTGAGGGCTTAGATATTGCCAAGTTGTTCAAGTCTAAACATGAGCAGTCGAGATGCAGAGGTCGGGTTCGAACAAGGGTCCTTCTGGTCAGTAATTTGGTGTCTTAATCACATCTATTTCGAGTACCTGCATGCGGCCTATGCAGTTAGCTGCATTTGGATAGAACACATTCTCCTCTCCCCTGGATGCTTGTCAACTCAAAAGACAGGATCCGTTTGACGCAATAACAGTGTATCAGTTAAAGTGATGTATTTTACCTCCGCTGAGAAATGAGTGAAGATTAGGGTCAATTACCTCGGTTCTACCTTAAACATTGTCTATTTAGATAATGTATCACTAACAGTCTCAGATTTCGTCATTCGATCCATTGTGTGTTGACCCCATTTGGTACATTATACGGAATGCCGCAGAATTGGAAGGGTTTACCGCGAACATTCTTTTTCTCCACTGAGAGGAACAGGTGGTAGGCGCCATACACTTCACCCATTTTGTCCAGCCGCCATAACGATACGTATCTAGGTAGGTAAACCTATTGGTGATATGACTATGGTCAGTCACTAGTCGCCTCTTGTAAGTGGAATCGTTGGTCACCAGGTCTCCAAAAGAAGTTTCGGCTTTCGACAGTTCTCTCAGAACAACTAGTCAACTTCAGTTTGTATATGTTATATATAAGTTGGTGAATAGCTGTGGTGGCTCGATCTTAACAGCCACCAGACTGTAAAAAGTAAGAGGTCGATGGCTATGGAGAGGAGTTTCAGCCTTGTCATTTAGGTCCAAGAAATTGTGCCCTGGTAAAAAATTTGGTAGAGCTGAGAGTTTGAAGGGTTCGTACCGTATGTCTTTGCATCCAATAGCGACACAATACTAGCTGATGGCGATACAAGTCATCATCATCGTTGACAGCACATCAACGCGCCGATCCTCCGCTGCCACGCAACCATAATTTATTTGTGGAAAAAGGGAATGAAATAAAGCATATTCAACCTACTATAATCATTCCTAGGTGTCTTCGCCTTGAAGCGCTCGGTCAGACAATCCGGATGAAAAAGGATGACAACAACCTCATTTGAATAGATTGGCAGCTATATCTTGCAGCTATCTTAGTCAATACAGGGAAGATCACTCTTTCCACTCTTGAAAGACAGGTCATACCGGACCCTCCAGCAATCATTTTCATACCCTCCCGAGGCCAGCCTATTTGCGGAGGATCTATGGCAACTTGTTTTATGAAGGCTAAGTCTTTAAGAAGCCCCTTCGGATGACATTACTCTCGCAGTCCATAAAAACTGAACATCCAGCTACCCGTTTCACTTTTTTTGGGCTCATCAATTAGGTTGATCTCCGTGAGCACACAATTGTAACTATTCGGCCGCAAACTAAGTGTTAACGAGAGGTCAGTGAAATGAGGTTCAAGTTATTTTCTACTGTTCAGTTGAGGAGTATGCTCAGATAACTGCAATGTGATTTCAGATGAAATATGAGGCGCTATTTGTAAGACATTCGGTTTAAATACTTCATAAACGAGAGATTCGGTTGGATTTGGAAAAATTCTCTCAGCAACAACTTAATTTGCAAATGAGTTTTGTCTTTGGGACGGTATTCAATGGCAGTTTACACATCATATATTGTTACAGATGCTGTTTACTCCTCGATATGCACTCATTTGCACACTGCGTTAGTTTTAACGGGAGACGACCTAATTCCAACTGAGTTTCTTGTTTACGATGAGCCCCAAAAACGGAGAAACCGGTCAGCGAAGAGCTATCAGCAACCTCAGGAGTAGTATTTTACTAAAATGGTAAAAATAATTTTGAACGAATTCGAACTTTAGTTAGGTCCTGCGATACTGTCAGCTCGCTGATCATGCGCGACCATATATTTCACACCCCTTAATTACATTTATCGATTACTGCCGCTGGAATAAAACTAAACTGAGTGCGAGTAGGTTCCCATATCCACGTTTACCTTTAATAATAATCGTTTAGCTTTATGTTTATGGTATTTTGTGTCGCTTTTTCAACTTTTTCAGTATGAACAAGTTGGTTGATAGCGGGTGAAACACGTACCTAATTTGTCACATACCAATGGCGGACAGGACCTAGACCGTTTTTGAGACGAATTCCCAACCTATTGGATCAGCCTTCTTCCAGAGCATTCCACCCATCATCTGGCACTATTTTTCGAGGCCCTCCCAGGATATTTCTGCTTCCGACCCAACTAAAAACTTAGTAGTATGGCATTGAAACTGGTTCGTTCTCTGCTATCGAATTCACGTCTTCACAAAGATCGTTTCATAGTTGTCTACCGAGATAATTTTGCTGGTTTGCTAGAGGAGCCACTGAACGCCTTTTCGTGGAATTTCGATGGTGATTTTGGTTGGTGTCCGATTGTGGTACCTGGTTGGCAAATTGAAAAGTTGAAGTATAATTCTCGCGTTGTTTGGTCCAAGACGCTTGAACGACAGTTTGATGAAGTTTATCGACTGTGCCTAGAGACTGAGCAGGAGATCAAGCACATCTGTTCCCCCATATCTTTTTCTGAAGCGTCCCAGGAAGAGGAAGATGCAAGGGTTGTTCTAAAACCTTTCGTGATGACTACCCATGTAACTCCTGGAGATTTATCGGACGTTTTCTGGAATAAACCCAATATCTATAATTTCTTCCTATGCCAACGTGTTTGTTCACCGGAATTCAATGACAAAGCAGAGCTCATTCAGAAGCGCATGTGCGACCTCGAACAGCAATTTGCAAAATGTCTTTATACTTCGGCTATGTTCCACTTAACTCTGTGCACTCTTTCACTGACTGATTTGCCGGCTGTAAGTTTATTTCGACAAGATTGTGTTTGATATATTACCCTGCAGGTTTCACCTTCGTTGCTATTCAACCATAATCATCTAAGATTGCTACATTCATTCAAGGATCGACTGATAGCTTTAACCGAATTAATGGTCTAAGCCTTCCTATCCCTGGCCTATTCATTGTTCAGTTATTCTCGGTACAAATCGTACCTTACCTCACAAATATAGCGCGAAGTTCGCCGGAGAACGTACATCAGTAACACTTATTATAAACACCATTACTTGGAGGCAATCAGCTTCTCAGCTTCAACAGTACCATTACAGTCATTGATTTTATCATACCAACCAGAGACCTGGTCAGTGCAACCATAGCACGATTGTTGTTCAGAGTTGAATATTGAATCACCAGTTCAAATTTTTTTATTAGTAGAGCTAATTCCTTTCCGTAGTTTGTGCTGACACAATTTTCCTATTGGAAGGTCGTGTCTGCTCCACAGAGCCAGAGCAGGATGGAAAGACATCCGAATCATGGTATGTTAATAAAGCATGAAACAGTCAGCGGATTTTTTCATCTAAGCAACTGGCTACTGATTTCCGGACGGGACGAGTAAACGAGTAACTCAGTACTCCACTGTCGGTCGGTATCTATCTCTTGCACCCTCTCTAGTAAATAGACTGTCTCAAAAAGCCTGTTTTAGGCGTTCATTGATGTACAGTCACTCGTTATGTGGTTATTGGGCGAGATGGTCCAAGTGGTTAGAGCGCGAATTTACTGACCGGAAGGTCCATGGTTTGAACCCGACCTCTGCCTCTCGACTTCCTCCGTCTAGGCTTGGGTAACCTGGGAGTATTTCACCCCTCGTGCAACCTTCGGGTGGCATGGCAGCTAGGCACCGAAAGGGTGCTACGGCTGAACAATTTAAAAAAAATGTGGTTCTTAGGCCATTTTATCCGTTACTAGTTTTTCCGCTACATGAAATTGCGATACCACAGGGAAAGATGAACTCCGAAGTTGGGAGATTTCCGTAAAGTATGGACCTCAATAATGTACAAAAATGGTTTGTTAAGAGGACGGCTGGAAGCGGCTCGGAGTTGAGATGAAAGGAAGTCTCGCTGTTTCACCGTTTCGAGATTGGATTTTGAGAACTGAAGCTCGACAATGGGTGAAATCAATGGCGGGTTTCGCAGGTGAACAGAACGACGGAAATGATAGGGGGTAGGGACAATGTTGGACAGCTGTGAAGGATACTGACCTTTGGTAGGAACGCCAGGGAAGACTCATCCGGTCACTGCAAACTAATACGTCATATCATTTTGAATAATAATCATTCAGCTGCAACACCATTTAACGCCTAGCTTTCACGCGAGGGCTAAGATACTGCCAGGTTGTCGAAGCCTAGACAGGAGCAGTCGAGATGTGGAGGTCGGGTTCGAACCACGGGCCTTCCGGTCAATAAATTCGCACTCTACCCATTGGGCCATCTCGAGTTCTCACGCCATATACCGACGAGCTGTCAGTTAGTTTGATTTTCATCCGTATTCATCATCAATGACAGCAACATCAGTGTTGGCACTGGTGCTTCACTGCCGTACAACCATAAAGTTCGTTTAGTTATATATATATATATATA